TTTTAAGTGTTCTTTAGTTCAGGAAATTTTCCCTCACAGGCTCATCAAGTCCACATCCTTCCATGTGTCTGGTATTTCCACAAAAGAAGGAAAAACCATCCTCAGCACAGGGCATGGGTTTTGGTGAACATTTATAATAATACACTTGCTCAGGTAATTATGATAAACAATGCATACCAAGCCCCAGAGAGGAGTTTAAAGAAACATTCAACTACGGTTGCTACTATCTTTTGAAAGAATCACACAGGCCTTATTGAATATTCCCAACTCAGGACTTCCCAAGCAATGTTTCTAAATCCCTAATTTAACCTGTGCTTGTCGAAATACAAAATCCTAGACTCACAGAATTTTTGAACAGGAAGGAACTTTTTAGCAATCACTTAGATTTGGGCTTCTCTAACTATTATTTCATAGAACTCTACAATAAAATAAGTGGGGCACAGAACCTCCCCCCCAGACAAAAAAACTGTTCTATGCTCAAATCATTTGAAGAAATTCCAGATTAAAGAAAGTTAAATAGATTTCTTTACCAAAGGATGAGGTAGATTAAAGATGGCCACAAATTCTTTGATATCTGTCGGGCTCATGTCACCTCCCCTTGACTCTGGGTGGGCTTTGTCATTGCTTTGACCAACTGAATATGCCAAAACTGACTCTGTGCCAGTTTATCGGCCAATGCCCTATGGGGCTGGTGGCTTCCACATCTGGTCTCTTGCTGGGCTCGCTCTTGAGGGCTCCTCACAGCCACCATGTTCCAGCCAACAGGCAGAAGCAGGTGCCAACATGTGAGTGAGCCATTGTGAACTTCCAGCCCATTAAGCCTCCCCAGCCAACCTCTGACTGCATCTCCATGAGACCAACTGAGAACAGCTTAGTTGAGCCTGGTCAAACCTCGGTATCATGAGAGATGATCAGACATTATTGTTTCAAGCCACTAAGTTTTGGGGTAGTTAATGTGTTCTCTAGCACACAGTAGGCAATCAATAACTATTAAAGGAATGAATGAGTGAATGATATAAATGTGAATCTTCAGGAGGAGGAGATAGCATGCTACATTTATTTCTTAAATATATTTGATACCTGAACACTTCTTTCAAGAAAATCACACAGAACAGGGCTTGATGGAATATTAGTTTGAGAAACATTGAATTAGACAATTGAAATGGTGCAATTTGGGAAATATGGATCTCGTTGTACCCTTTCATGTTATGCGTTAGAAAAGTGAGGCCTGGATAGGTGAAGAGAGTTGCCTAAGGAAACAAAGTTAATTGGTAAACTCCATCTATGAACTAATTTTCTTTCTAGCTAAGGTGAAGGGGTATGGACAAAATGGTTCTCTCCTGTCAACACATACTAGCTAACTAAATAGATCAGGCTTCTCACTAGGTAGCCCTTTCTTTCTGTTCCATTATCAAGTCTAGATGTCCAACTAGCTGTTTCCCATGAGCCCTCTCTTAAAATGGTAGACTCTCAAAGAGGATATAAGAGTATTTATTAGTCTGAAGTTTAGACTAAGCTTCAGTTCTAAAAACAGCAGAATCTACAGGAGCATTTTGGGCCTTTGGTTTTAAAACACTTGCCTGATAGAAATCTTTGCTTTCAAAACTGAAATATTTGGAAGCCTGAATTTTCAACTCAAGCAGATATTGTCTAGGGACCCACATTTTAAAATTCCTTCAGTCTTGTTACAAATTTCTTCTTCTATGTGAGAGGTAAATGATATGATCTGAAGTTTGATTTAGTTTTTAAAACAATATAGTGAAGAATGGTAATACTAAACAGGTCCAAATCTGGGCTATTCACCTTTTACTTTTCAAACACCATTACAGCCCATGCCGCCACTTCTTAATCAAGTCTCCAAATCCAAGAACCACTTCAATTGTTACAAAAAGTTTTATCTAATTATCTTCTTTTCCTACTTTGAATGGACCAACCATGTTTCTTTTTCTGGTTCTATCAAAGGGGCTGCCAGGACAAAAGCACATCCAATTTTAAGTAGGCTTTAGTTAGCTGACTGAAAATTGATCATGCATTTTAGTTTCAGTAAGTTGCAATTTCCACACCCTTTGATAATTCACTTTAAAGAGCAAACCTTCTTTAATGACAAGGCTTAAAAGAAACGACCTTTCTGAACAAAATATGAAAGCTGAGAAGAGACAGTTCTTTTAAAGAAACTATGAATTAAAATGACCTTGTGTTCTGAAACTTTTCTCCCACCATTTTTGATGTTTTACCTTTCCTTTTTACTCTTAGAAAGAAAGCTAACCCACCACTGCCTTCTACGGATGGTGGTGCACTTCAATCAGAGAGCTGTTAATTGTTAATTCAAACTCCCAGTTTCTTCTTTCTGCACTTTCTCTGTGGATTCCTTTAATGAGGTTACTCACCACGATGAGCATATGGCTGTTTCTGAAGAAATCACTGTTAATATGTGATGTTACTGGATAGTGTTTGAATTTGAGCTATTGCCCTTGAGTCACTGTCAGTTCTTTTACCAAACTATGGAGCAAGCCATCAGTCCACTGTTCCCTCCATCTTAGTCTTCCGTTTTCTCCACTGTGCCCCTTGAGGGCCGCCCTCTGAGGAGTTCATTGTCGACTGGGGAGGTTGCAAAATCAGAGGGCAGATCCCTGAAAGGGCTCACTGCTTGGTGATGCAGAAATGGTGAACTCAAACAAAACTATGACACATGTGGCAACTGCAGAGTTAACGCCACCGTCAACCCCTCTCCTCTCAGACCCCATAACTGGGTAACAACACCTAGAATACCCAGAACACTGGGATCCCATGGCGTTTCTTCAGCTTCGCTTGTTCCCAGTGCTTTATCAGCCACTACCTGTTGACAATTATATGCTGAAATATAAAAAGCTCAGGTGGCTGATTCAGGTGTAGCAGCCAATAATACTACCTTGAGACACAACTAAATTAGGTACTTGTGATGAACAATTGATCTTCCACCAGATAAAAGAAAGGATGAAATCTTAGATGATTTTATAATAAGGCACAGTGTTTATAATTTATCTCCTCAGCACTTGCTTTTTCTTTTTCTTCCAGTGACCGTTTATGTACTCAGGGCTCAATTCAACCAGGAATTTCAAACCTGCCAAATGCAATTTTTCTTTCTCTTCTTTTATCACAGAACTTTCCCAAAAACATTAGTGTCAGGCACCTCTTCCTATCACAGACAATCAAACTGACCTAAAGTTTCATTCTGTTTGCTCTCTGCCATATATGACACGCTTCAGGAGGGAAACAGGATCTGGGTAATGTCAAAGGTTCACCAGTATTTGTAATTTCATAACCCTCAAAATAAGGAAAAGAAAGAGTAGCAGGCAACTTTCCAAAACACCTACTGATATTTACTCACGGAAAACAAATATTCTTGAGTGAGAGTTCCAATTCCAGCACGCAATACAATTCACAAAAGTATTTTCACTTCAAGCAGCTAATAACCTTGCTAATGAAAGCTGTTGAGCTTCAACCTGTTTTCCACGGCCTATCCAGAAGTACTTAAAATTAATCACGTAGCCTTAATCTTCCCCTTCCAAGTACTAAACCATGGTCTGAGTACCAATTGTCCTCATTTGTCAGGTGGTTTTAAGGACAACTGCTACGATTTTGCTTTTTCCTGATTCTTCTTAAAGCTAGTGCTATAATTTATTGTATATGTAAGAGAAACCTGATCTTTCGAGAAAGACAGAGGCTTGTATTCCCGGCAGAGACGTGCGGATGAGCATCTGAACATTCACCAGACAGAGTGAGATGACTGAGGGCAAGGATGGGATGCCTCCTCCTGATGGCTGGCCTCAGAGCAGTATTTATGCTGATCCTAGTCCTGGCTTTGGAAGTGGCCGTTAAACCTGTTACTTCCTTATCATCTCCCTGTCTCAGTTACAGGACAAAAAAGGGTAATTCATCCTCGGGCAGCAAACAACAGAGATGGGCGTGGGAAAGAAAAAGATTTTGGAAAAGTGTAAATAAACTTTCTGCCCTTGCCCTTTTACAGTAAATCAGATGATTGCAGCCCTTCCCGGGGTCAGATTTTCCAAGAGTGTCTCAAAGGGCCCATGGCACGCACCACAATGCAGTCAAAGAATTTGGAGCATCAGTTGTTTCCTGGTTGCTGGTCCCTTTACTGCAATTCCAAACTTCCTCAGCAAATCACGTCGACCAATCAGCGGAAAGCTACTTATGGCATTCAGGTGGGGAGACAGAGCCAGACCCAAACAGCCACTCACGGCAACAACGTCAGATTCTCTTGACTATGGGACCCTCTTGAAAATGGGACCAATGACAGCATATTCTAAAATCACTTGCCAAAATGTTGAGTGTCCTCAAAACACACCTCTACATTTTTAGGTTTTCTTAAAGAGTGTAGACTGATATTATAATTAAATTAACCACCATAAAAAGAGAGACCAAGAAGAAAACAAAGCTGCTACATACATTTCTTATACGGTGCTGCCTCTGGAGCCCCAGGCTCTGACTGGAGACCAATAAGACAAGAACTTGGACTGAGGCTATCAGATGGCCCAGTGATTTTATTCTAAACACCAGCTCCATGCACTAATTAATGGATTTAATCTTTGACATGACATAAGGTATTTTTTTCCTATAGTACAATTTGAGATTGACAGTATTTTCTAGGGAAAAAATACCATGTATATGTCATACTTATTTTAGAAAATGAGGTGCATTCAAAAGTAGAAATGATATTGATAAGTACAAAATAATATTTTAATAATATATGAACATGAAAACAATGTAAACATGTTAAAATTTTTTGATATGATACTACAAGCGTGATTTTGATCATATGCAACTGGTAAAAATCTACACAAAAGCATTAACAAGGCAGATCATAGGAAAACATTTCTCTTCCCAATATAAGCAATTCTCAGCACACACACAAATGCACACATATACGGAAATCAGAAATAAAGCGATGTTAAAAAAAATAACTTAGGCAGACACAAATAAAACCACCCCACTAGTGTGTGTGAATGATGCATGTTTTTATGATCTTAATTACATACTTTTAAGTTTTAAAAAATGCCACTGATCTCACAGTTTACAATATCCAAATCTTCAAACCTGCTGGAAGACGTCCACAGTGCAGCCCCAATGATTGCATCCACGGCCCATCTCTTGTGCAGTTACCTGAAAACCCAAAATCTCAGTTATCATTTCCTCTAGGTTTAATAGGTTGGCCAGTTTTAAAAATATGTTTCAATTATGGAGAAGTATCCAGGAATTGGAAAAGGAGCCCTGGTTGCACAGTGGTTAAAGCATCCGGCCATCAACCAAAAGGTTGCTCACCAGCTCCTCCGCTGGGAGAATGATGTGGTGATCTGCTTCTGTAAAGATTCCAAAACCAAACAAAACCCATTGCCGTCAAGTTGATTTCGACTCATAGTGACCCTACAGGACAGAGCAGAACTGCCCCACAGGGTTCCCAAGACTGTAAATCTTTATGGAAACAGACTGTCATATCTTTCTCCTGCAGAGCAGCTCGTTGGTTCAAACCGTCGACCTTTCAGTTAGCAGCTGAGTGCTTCACCATTGTACCACCAGGGCTCCTTCGGTAAAAATTATAGCCTTGGAAACCCTATGGAACAGTTCTACTCTGTCCTATAGGGTCGCTATGGTGTTTTTTTTTTTTTGGTATACAGGAATTGGATAGAGGTTGAAAAGGATATTTTTGATCATTTATGTCCTGGTGGTGCAGTGGTTAAGCGCTCAGCTGCCAATCTAAAGGTCAGAAGTTAGAACCCATCAGCTGCTCTGCAGGAGAAAGATGTGGCAATCTGCCTCCATAAAGATTACAGCCTTGGAAACCCTATGGGGCAATGCTACTCCATCCTATAGGGTCACTATGAGTTGGAGTCAGCTTGACGGCAATGGGTTTGGTTTTTGGGTTTTATGTCTATAAGGGATCAAATCATATTGACACCAAGCAAACAATCTTTTGAAAAGTGAGAGAATCCACAAGCTCTTTACTTTTAGTTCAGTGCTCAGTAAGTGGTTCAGTCTTTCACCCACTAAAAGGAAGGTTGTGTGACTGAATTACACAACTTGGCTGCTCTCAGGCAGCAGGTAAACACCATCAGTGTCGGTGATGTCACTGGGAATCTTGGAATAGAAAGGTCTTGTGCATCCTGAGAAGGACACCACGGGCCCCAAAGTCACCGTGAGTGCTGTGACCCAACTAAGCCATTCACCTCTTCTGGTCTGGAGAACAAACCTCCTGGGAGACAGGGCTTTTACTACTAAGAAGTGCATCATCTCACTATCTTAAAGGAAAACAGTGTCTCCTCAGACAACCTGTTGCTGTGACTCCTGCAGGGAGGCCTGGCCTGGCCATGCATCTGAGATTCTCTCATCTCAGCGCTGATGGAGCTGACCAAGCAGTGCTGGGATTAAAAGAGGTGGGTGCCTTCTTAAAGACAGGCTATTTACTGAAAATCAGTCTGTTTAACACACAATAGCCCAAATCACTATTATGTCTAAGTATTCTCATAAAGACTTAAACTCCAAACCGGGAGACTCATGGGGACAAACAATACACACGGATCAGAAGGTGTTGCTGACCACAAGATGTACCTTCTGTTTTGGTATGTGGTCAGCTCTTCTTGAAGGATGGATGCTCTCTTCTGCAGAAAGTTCACCTAGAAAAGACACTTTGTATGAGAAGGGGCAAAGGTGGTTTAAATGTCAAGATTCGCAAATCATATGGTGAGATTTTATTCAAATTCAGACAATCACCTAGTAAGACTCAGAGGATTTGCTGAATGTCAATGTTGTGTTTTGTACATTTGATCATGTCCCATTCCTACTGAACAATCCATCACAGACTACAGAATAAAGTTCAAACTCCTTGTTACCCGGTTGTTTTGATCTGGCCACAGCCTACCTTTGCAGCCCCATCGCTTGTCACCCTCTTCCCACCATTGCCACCTGTACACCATGTCTTTCACACCTTTGTTGGAATACTGGGCTAACTAATACCCATTCATCCTCCATGATCCAGTCCAAATGCGACCTCTTCCAGCCTCTTCAATCTGCGACTCCACCCCAACTGTTCATCTCCTCCTACCCCTGGCCGAGCCAATGGCTCCCTCCTCTATCTTCTTCGACTCTGTCATTAGCACCTCCTGCACTGCCTTGTGGCAATTTGTCTGTATCTGTCTGCCCCAAACCTGAGCGCTCTTCTGGGGCAGGGATGATGTTTGTTCATTTTTGAATACCCAGTGCCTTTTACAGGGCTGGGCATGTAGCTGATATGCATTAGCTGTTTAATGAATGAATGAGCAAATGAAAAGAAAATTACTACTTTCTGGAAACTTCAATCCGTCCTGAGGATTCCCTGAGGTTGGAGAGACAATGTTTTGTAGTGGAAAGAGCCTGAGCTTTGTCTGGAGTCAGGTCAACCTGGATTCCATCCTGGCTTGGCCTTTATGGCTCTAGGAAAGTCACTTAAGCTCTTGATGCCTCGTCTGTGAAATGGGGTTAATGACAGCTGCCTCCCAAGGTTATGAGGATGATGGGAAACGGCTGCTGGAAACTGCCTACTGCAGCACTCATAGCAGGTGCTCCCACTCTTGGGGTGCTGGGGGCGGTGCTAAGAAACTGGATTTTGTAGCATAGTCTCCTAAATCAGACCTTTACAACATGGTTTGATTATTTTGAAGTGTAAATGTCTGTAATAGTAAAGATACCTATACTCATTACCCGCTGCTATCAAGTCAATTCCGACTCATAGGACTATAGGACGGAGTAGAACTGCCCCACAGAGTGTCCAAGGAGTGGCTGGTGGATTTGAACTGCTGACCTTTTCGTTAGTAGCCATAACTCTTAACCACTGTGCCACCAGGGCTCTGTTAAAATACCTATATCAGGCAAAATTCAAAAGCACCTTATGAACAACCAAATGAAAATGGTTTTTGGAGAACTCACACTATAGCTTAATGCAATCAAGAGTCAGTGGTATTTGATCGTTTCAGAATTGTTTACTCTTGCCTCTTAGGTCTGAACTGAAACCATGGCAACGGCTGATCCTGAAACATAGTTATGCAAGGGAGTACAGCTGGCAGAAAATAAAATGTGCTTGAAAGGGAAGAAAGCACACTCTTTCTAAATGGGCGCCTATCAAAGTGGTCCCCTTGGTTTTGCTTATTTATGATATCACCCGGGTCTTAATTTTATCCAATTGCTCAAATGACCCAGAGGACAATTAAAAATTTGGACAGATGCAAGGATTACACTGCTTCAAGTTCCCTCCCCCACCAGGCTTTGGAGCAGGAATTCCAACAATTTTCAAAAAACACAGGCACCTGTGCTTTCAAACTAAATTTGCTCCCTGTATGGCCTGGACTGCTCCGCGCAGCTGCCAACGCGGAGGCCCTCATGCAGCTGGCAGCACTCTCTTTCTGGGTCAACATCCAGTTTTAGGAGGCTGAACTGGCTTTTATTACAGTGAAATGATATGAATGATAACAGAAGCCCTGCAGGTGGATATCAGATTTCTTTTCTTTTTTCCCCTAAAAAAAAAAAAAAAAAAAAAAAAGAAATTCTCCTGAAGGTGCCAGGTTGTACAAAGCTGACCCTCTGGAAACTTTCCTACAAAGTTAATGGGTAAACCACATCTAGAGGAGAGCTTTTCACATAAATAAAGATTACTTAACCCTTTCTTCTTCAACACGTTCCTCCAGTACTTATTTTTATATGCATGGGAGAGCGGACCAAAACTTCTTAGCAGTAACAATGGTATCATAAGGCTTGATGCAATAACATTTCATTTCCAGATAGGAGTCTTTTTACCGAGGGGCATGGAAAAGGAAGAGCTAAAATTTGCTCTGCATTTTGTCTTACTTATTATAATTGATGTGAATGCCATCAAAATATATCATTTATTTTAGTAAATATATTTATTGAGCATCTACTATGTGCCAGGCACTATTCTTGGCATGGAAAGTAAAGAATCCTTTCCCTTGTGTAGCTTTGCCAGAAAAAAGTATGATTTAAATTTCTAAGTATATTAGACATGGAAATAAGTGGGCTCCTTCTCATGCTTGAGTTAAAAAACAGATTCGACCATCAATACATAAAATATTCAAACAATACCGACATATATAGAGAAAATGCATGTTGGAATTTTGAAATAAGCATCCAAATTTAAAGCAACTTCATTTCTCACATTACATTTTATGAACTATACCAAGAACTATAGATTTCATCAAGATATATTTAATCTAATTGTTTGAATACCTTGGCATTATTCTTCCTTGAACTTAAAATATGTCTTGCCATTCCAAACAACCACATAAAATACACCAGAAATCAAAATGCTTCTAACTTAACTGTGTTTTCTAGCTCTCGGCACTTTAGTGCAGTGAGGAATCAGCAATGTGCTAAGTGATGGTATTTTGGGCCTGGTACCAAGAAGAAAAGGGAGAGACTGTATTGGAATGTGGACTGTAAATGGAATAAAAGTCGTTACAACTGAACATTTCATTTTCAAGGGTGCTTTTAAGGAAATACTATGGAGACAATGAATTCTTAAACTACTAAGAAGAAAATTCTATGAGAAGAAACAATTCATTCTGCGTAGTGGGTTATGTTATGATATCACATTGGTAGGGTCGCTACGAGTCGGAATCCACTCAGCAGCAGCGGGTTTTGGGGTTTTTGATGGTATTGGCATTCAACTCAGACGCAAATGTATTTGCAAGTTTCCTATTGGGACATGGACATCATCTGAATACTTGGAAAATGTTTTGATTCTAGTAATTACCTGAGATTTTAGGGAGGAAATGGTGTCTTCGAGTTCTTGTCTTAGAGATGCTGGCATCAACCCTTTGAATTTTGTTTCATATTCTTGGCGTATGTAAGTTATCTAAAATGGAAAAAACAAAAACAAAAACGAGATAAAAGCTTACCTTGTATACTATGGAAATGACTGCTTGAACTAAGAAATTCCAAGATATCTACTCATGACAAAGACGAAACCTGTCAACACAGAGGAAACCAGAGACAATACACGTACAAACTGAAAAAGCTCCCCGGCCTGGCCGTGTGACTCTGGGAGAGACATGCCCTGTGACAACACTTCACTCCTTTAAAATCCTGTTAGCACAATTTCCAGCATCTGAGAAATAAGTAAAATACATACTCTCTCCTCTCCACTTGTGATGTCCATCACTCGGCAAACCCTCTTCTGATCAGGATATGATTCAAGATCATACTAAACTATGATTTGACGACAATTCGTGGCAGGTCTTTGTTTGATTAAAGCACTCCCCAAAACTGGCTAGGTACCCTGGGGTGTTCGATATAATCCATATGATTATGAAGATAAGAATGAAGGAGAATCTGCACAGCTGTGTCTGCAAGCCTCCTTAACCCCAACACGGGTAGATGAGAGTACCCTTGTCTCAGCGAGCCTCCCTGGCTCAGGGTTTCCTGGTGCCTCCAGAATACAATCAGGCTTGTGCTCAGCTAACTGATGGTCACTGGGCTTATTAAAGGAAAGGCTGATGGCTCATCCCATTCATCTCTCTAGAAGCTGAATGCAGAAGTGAGGGAGGTGAAAGAAAAATCTTTGGAAAACTACGCCTGAGTAGAATGCAGATGTGCATGAGTGTGGGTCAGGGTGTGAATGTGTATGTTTGATGTCTTTCTCCAGCTATGTTTCTGCTGGAGAAATCTGAGGAATCCTAATCTGTGATGGAATTAATTATTTTCAAAATCTGTTGCATGTGTTGTGGGTGACTTAACTGAATATTAAAGTTGAACTGCAGTGTATCTCATAAATGATTCACTGATACACCTGGAAATAGGGTAATACACTATGCAAATGTGTGCTACTGAGTTAGTTACACAAGCCCTTGGATTTATGGAATACAATTTCAAATTATTAGCCTCTAAGTCCCAACTTTTTAAAAAATAATTAATTGAATTAAGGAAGAAACGTGTTCTAGTAATTCATTTCATTATGTACTAAAATCCCATGGCAACTGTTCTAGAATATAATTTTTTAATTCTTTGCAAAGGATTTTTTTAAAGCTATGCTATAGCTTTCTAAGGAGCCCTAGTGGTGCAGCAGTTAAGTGCTCGGCTGCCAACCAAAAGGTCAGAGGTTTGAACCCACCAGGTGCTCTGTGGAAGAAAGATGTGGCAGTCTGTTACCGTAAAGATTTACAGCCTTGGAAACCCTACAGGGCAGTTCTACTCTGTCCCATAGGGTCCCTATGAGTTGGAACTGACTTGATGGCAATGGGTTTGGTTTGGTTTTTGGTATAGCCTTTTGATTTACACCTACAAGAAAAAAGGAAATAATGAAAAATGATCTCTCAAACTGATATAAAGTTAAAGGCTGTTCTGGCTTGGGCACTTCTGGAAAGGAGTTTCCAGAACTCTTAGGGCTCATTTCCATCCCACCTCTCTACTCCCACTGCCTTCAAAAAGCACTGTGCATAGTTATACGCTCTTCTAGATTCCTCAACCACAGCACAACAAACAGACATAAGCCACCCTCTCTCCACCACGGTTACCATTCTTTCTACGTTCTTTCATCTTCAGCAGAGCAAATGAGGAAGCTCCAGAACACCATGACAAACAAAAACACTTTTGCAATGTACTAAGACCCCTGTAAACTGAGTGGAAATGGTACCCATGTGTTATGGATTGAATTGTATCCACCCCCTACTAAAATGTGTGTCAACTTGGCTAGGCTATGATTCCCAGTACTGTGTTGTTGTCCACCATTTTGTGATCTGATGTGATTATCTTATGTGTTGTAAATCCTAACCTCTGTGATGTTAATGAGGCAGGATTAGGAGCAGTTACGTTAAGGGGGTAGGACTCAATCTACATGATTAGGTTGTATTTTAAGTCAATCTCTTTTGAGATATAAAAGAGAGAATCGAGCATAGAGGAGTGGGACCTCACTACCACTAAGTAAGAAAGGCCAGGAGCAGACTGCATCCTTTGGATTGGGAGTCCCTGTGCCAAGAAGCTCCTAGACTGATAACAAGGACATTCCCCCAGAGCTGACAGAGAGAGAATGCCTTCCCCTGGAGCTGATACACTGAATTCGGACTTCTAGCCTTCTGAACTGTTAGATGATAAATATATTTGTTAAAGCCAGCCACTTGTGGTATTTCTGTTATAGCAGCACTAGATAATTAAGGCACCGTGTGACCAAAGTCAAGGCTTTAGCCAAGGTGGTAGTGGAGGACTAGGTAGATAGCTGTGTTCTGCTCCATGGCTACAGAATACCTGCCTTAGTCTTGAAAGTCATAGCACTGGCAATACTTCCTCTAATTGTAAAAGAGATTATGAAGACTGAGAACATCCATAACTGGAGTTTAGCATTACAACCAAGTAGAACTTATATCGTTGGTAATCAGATAAATATTCACGTGCATAAATAACAGTCTACAGAGTGTACAGAGTGGATTACTGACTTTAGCCAAGAGGATCTCTAGAGATAAAAGTTTGAACTGAGATTGAAAAAAGTAAACCTTGGAAATCCATGATTTCATTAAAAATGCAGAAGGGAGAACTAAAGTATATTTAGTATTGTTTTCATTTGAAAAACACCAAAACTATCTCAATCATGTCAATACGTCAACTTCCTGTTGTATAATAAAACAAAAAGCAAGATGGAAGCATGCAGCTATGTAGAAACTTAGGGACAGTGTTTCTAACACAAGTTATTTTACTGCAAGCTTCAATGCACCCAACACCGAATTCACATTTGAAGAGGTGAGCAAAGAGGCCACTTACTGAACTGCCAGTGGTCCATACTGTGTGGTTGCTTTTACGCCTCTTTACATAGTCATTTATTATTGTACTTTGAGGTAAGTATGAAGCAATTCAGGAAAATGAGTGTGCCTAATATTAAAGAGCCCTGGTGGTGCGATGATTAAGCACTCAGCAGCCAACCAAAAGGTTGACGGTTCAAACCCACCCAGTGGCTCTGTGGGAGAAAGACCTTGCTATCTTCTCCCATAAAGACTACAGCCTAAGAAACCCTATGGGCAGGGACGGATTACCCAATAAGCAAGGTACGTACAGGCTTGTTTGTGCTTAATTACTACCTGTTTTTCGCCACATCATGTGAAATTGTGCGCTACAGATTAGTAAGTAAGCACAAATGAGCTCATTTGTACATTGCTCACTTGTAATCGGCTCCTGCCTATGGGGCAGTTCTACTCTGTCACATGGGGTCACTATGAGTCGGAATCAACTTGACAGCACCCAACATAACAACAATATTACTTCACAAAGTCCAACCAAGCACTTTGGGATCAGTTCAGCTGAGGACAAAGGGAACAAGAATTCCACTAATGTCCTAAATATGTCTCCAAATCTCTCCATTTCTCCATCGCTGGTGGCCATTCTGATCCGAATATCCTCGTCTTGCCCTTCAATACTGGTATGCTGGTTTTCTTTTTCAAACTATTTTTTTTTTTTTTGCTTAACCTTTAAAATCAAAATCAAGATCTTTTATGTGGCCAACAGGGTCCTGCAGAATCCGGCCCCTATCCACCTATCGAGAATTTCCCCTTGCTTTCAAACACCAGACACCTTAGCTTTTTAAAATTCATTCACCAAATGCCCCAAGTTTTGTCTCCCAACAGGGTCTTTGCATGTACTGAAATACCTTCCCAATAATGCGCTCCCCCCTCCACCGCCCCAGGGCAATTCCTGTGCCTAGTTCAGGCCTGCCCATCTTTCAATTTCCAACTCACCCATCCCTTCCTCACGGTGGATCTTCAGCTGCTGGGCACCTGCACTGCTGTGCTGAGTGTTGACTACCAATGTTCCTTTGCCACAGAAGTCTTTGCAGAGTTCTGATACTCCCTGCCTGACACCTCAGACGGGGGTCAGGTTCCTCCCTTACACACTCCACCACCCTGTGTCCCTCCTATCAGAGCACATGACTCAGTTTGGAGTTATATTAGGTTGAACCACATGATATTGTCAATATTATTGTTTTGACCTTAAAATGGCAATTTCATATGATTCAGCATAATACATTTATTTGTGAGGTTGCTTGATTAACATTTGTCTCTTCCACTAGACTGTGAGGCGATTGTTTTGTCTTCAATTCCATTTCCAGTGCTTGGCTCAGTTCCTGGCCGAGTGAGCATGAATGCGTGAATGCATGGGTGCTGACTTCTACCCAGGGACGAGGCTTTCTGGGAAAATTCACCCCCTATTCCAACCCACCTAAGGAAATAATACTTCAGAAGCATCGATTCACTTGGACCCACTTTCTTTTGGAATTTCTTTCAATGAGTTGCAGAGGGCCAGCATCATTAGGCTTCCTAATTTTCATAAGTGATTTGTGCCTATAATTTTATTTTCTTATATGGCCCATATCTGGTTTTACTATCAAGAGTATAATAGTCTTGTAAAACGAGTTGGGCAACATTCTCTCCTTTTTTATTTTTCTTCCAAGAGTTTATAGAAGATACAGATTTTCTACTCCTTGCAGGTTTGAAAATAAACCCACAAAATTGTCTGGGTCTGGTATCCTTTGAGGATGGAGTGATATATTTGATTATTAATTCATTTTCATGAATGGTTATTAGGTTTTCTTTTCATAATTGAGACAAATTTGGCAATTTATCTTTTTCTCATAAGTTGTTCATTTAATTAACAGTTTAAAATCTGTTAGCAAAAGGTTGTTCTTAGTGTGTGTCATTTTATACTTCTTAAACCCTTATCCGATTTACATGTCTCTTTTTTGTATCTAATAATGTTTATTTGTGCCTTTTTTTTTCCCTGATCAAACTTGATAGAAGCTTGTCTCTCTTATTAGGCCTTTTCAATGAAGTACCTTTTGGTTTTGTCTTCATATTGTTTTTCTGTTTCAAAAGACCT